TCCTTTGAAGACCAGCTGCCATTGGCCAACCCTGTTTTTCTTTAAAATCTTATGTTGTGAAGTGGGCATCAATGTTGCTCAGAAGGATCACAGTAAGGTGTGCTATTAGTTAGGACACCTTCACTCTAACTTCATGCTTTTCACTGTCTCAACTTGAAGGGCCAGGTCACTATTCTGGGATTCTGACTCACAAGATTTTGGGATCTGGCTATCTGGAGACTTCCCTATCTTCCATTTTCTCCCCTGAGCATCTAGCTTTCTCCATCATCCACAAATTGGCCTAGTTTGGGTTGAACTAGACTGTGCACTGTCTTTCCAGAACCCATTTGGCAAAGTGCTCTGGCGGCAGTTATTGGTCTGATGCTGATAAGGCTGATTATTCTGATTATCCTGGCATCTGGCAAACAGGCAATTTTATTTTGTATTTATTTATTCATCAATATCTCTTTACAAAAGAGATTTAAAGTGGCTTATACAAATGCATAACAAGCAGCAAAGTAAAATGAATTAAAAATGAGGAATGAAATTTGGGCAAAGTGAATGCATGAGAGGGCAGATGATAACAGGGAGCTGGGAGCAAGGTTGGTTTACATGACCTTTGTCTTGCAACTTAAATCAGTGCTAAAGGTGATGGTTCTTGCTTGGTAGGTGAAGGCTCCTTATTAGCATTTTATTCTGACGGTGGCCCTGGGCATCTCTTTTATCATCTCATCTCTGAAGATAAGACATGATGAATAAACTGAATAAATGTGATACTACACAAAGGAGATCATAAGGAGTGTTTCAACTCAGAATTGGGGTCACTCACCCAAATCATGATTTAACTTACGTTACTCTTCTCTTTGCCCAAGTGTAAAAGGATAATGTATATAAGTCATTAGAAAAATCCTGTTATAATAAGATGTTCACTACATGGTGACTGTCATTATTACCATACTCATGGCAGTGAGGTGGTTGGGAGTATGAACCTGGAATTTGACAGATCATGGTTCAAACCTCTGTTTAGTGAGTCACCTAAACCATGTTACTTAATCTCTGCAAACCCTTGTTTCCCAGCATATAAATAGGGATAATAAGAATATATCTTGTGTTGGAGTATTGTAAGAAGTAAATGAGGCAATTTATATAAAATACCTAGACTAGTATATAGCACACTGTGAGTACTCTCTTAATGACATTTATCATTATTGCCTATAGGCAAAATTACAACAAAGTTAGTTTTAAAGGTCCAGTTGGCTTTTATTTCCAATTTTAGAATTGGGTAATACCTCATTCTATAAAATAAGAGTGTTCCAGTGAGCTGAAAAGAGGAGCCTGATTTAATAGGCAAAAAAGTGATAAAGAAAGAAGAGACAGAAAGCAAAACATTGGTCATTCCAAAGATATTCTGCTTGTAAAGGTTAAGGCAGAGGGCTTCTTTATCATGCTAGCTACCACTGGCTTCATTGGGGATTTGAGTATTGCTTTTTTCTGATGTCTTGGAAGCTGAGGTAAACAACTTAATTCTGGCTTGGTAATATGGGACATCAGCATACGGGACCACCTAGGAGGACCACTTCATGGAGACAGGGATCTTCATCTGTTTGATTTGTTTGTTATAGTGCAGGAGCTCAGCCCAAGCCAATGACTTTCTATAAATTTTATTGATAATTATTAAGACATTATTTTCTCTTATTGGACTTTAAAGAGGAGAAGAGAGGTCATCATGTTATATTAGTTCTATGCAAAAACGAGTCATGACTTTCCTGATTAACCAACAAAACAGGAGCGGCATTTGAGGTCCTTTAGTGCAATCTTATTAAAAACACAGACACAGAGATGGGAGACACTTGATATACTGTCAGAATCTGGCCTTTAATTCAGACCTCTAGATGCTGTTTCTGGCCTTCTTTCCACATAACTCTCTCTGGCTTATTGTGATTAGTTGCCATTCTTTCACATACCATTCCTCTCTTATTCAAGAAAATAAATGGTGCCCCATCCCTCTGAACAGAGACCTAAAAGTGCTAGGGCAGTCTGCTGACTTGTGTTTCCCAAGCTGGGACTGCGTGAGGCAAGGCTAAAACCTCCTACTTCCTGGGCCAAAGTGATGGGCTATAGTGTAGGTTAGTGGAAAGTTCAGTGAATTTAGAGCACAGTAAATTTGGAAGTCCTGCTGCCACTTATTAAATGTGTAATCTTGGGAAAGTAGTTTAGCTACTTTGGACCTCATTTTCCTCAAGAATAAAGTAGGGATACATTAAATGTCTGAATGACTGGACAGTCTAGTGTTGAAAAGTCATTTTGGGGGCTAGCTTTGTGGCATGGTGGTGAAAGCATCTGGATCCCATGTGGTCAACTGTGTAGTACAAGACCTAGACTCAGCAGCTTCAGAAACACACCAGGCGTGTGTGTAGGAATGCCCCAAATCCTTGAAGGAGAAAGAGAGGAGGATAAGGGCTTGTGGCATGATCACGCCCCTTTCCCACTTTTTCTCTGTCTCTCTCTCTGGAAAGTGCATGTGCCTTCTAGTAAAAAATAATAATAAAAAAAAAGAAAATAATTTTTGAAGCATACCAATCATTTTATGTATGTTTGTTCTGTACTATTACAGAATGAGCTGTTTTCATTAATTACTCTTTCACTCTCACAGCACAACCGTGCTGCTTACTGCATAGATATTAAAACTGAGACTCCGGAAGTTGTTAGTTGCACAACATCATACAAGTAGAAATTATTGAGTTTGCATTTGGAGCAAGTTTTGTCTGTCCTCAAGATCATTTTTCTTAGATACTATGTGATATTTCTAGAATTCTAGCCTTACATTTAATTGGAGTGATCTTAGGCTCCTCACCGAGGCTTCAATATTTTAAAAACTTCTGTTATTAGGAGGCTAATGCTGAACAAAGTTGCCTTGAAAGCTCTCACAAGGGCCTGGACGACTGTATGTTTTGTAATAGAGCATAGTGGTTCATGGCTGATGATTTATGCCTGTATTTTATATTATTTGTGGATAAATGATTCAGGCAAATAAAAGTAAGTAGTAATTTGATCACCATCATTTCTGCTAAAATATTATCTTTTCAGTGAACCTTTTAAAATATATTTATTTATTCATTTACCTATGCATCATGTGTGCGAGAGAGAGAGAGAGAGAGAGAGAGAGAGAGAATGAGTGAGCGAGAAATTATCCCACAGGGAGAAAGGCCACACCACAATCCCTGTTCTCCATTCTCCTCTTGGGATTTGGGGCATGCACACACACATGCTCCAAGTGATTTTCAAGCTGCCAGGTCCAAGATTTGAACCACAAAGCCAAGTGGGATCTAGTGTCTTAATCTCCATGCCACCTGCTGGCCTCAATGGAGCCTTATTGTTGGTCTTGTTTAATACTCTGCTCTTTATTTGATATTTCTAATTTTCCACCCTTGGCAGCATTTTATTTTTTTTTTAAATGGCACTTACTGTCTATCATGGTAGAAAATACATTTCTTCTTTTCTTAGACATATATTGTCTATGCCTAGAAGGACCACTCCACAGGGGCAGGGATCTTCATCTGCTTTGTTCCTAGTGACAGGAAGACTGCCTGGTACATGGTAAGTTCTCAGTAGGAACTGAGTGAATAAATGATTATAGCCTCTGTTTTTCCTTTAGTCAGTCTGATTTGTATGAACTCCTAAGAACACAGCAAGCCGTCATTTTGGATTGAGATTTGACCCTAACCATAGGAAAATAAGCCAAATTTACATTATCAAGAGTTTAGTGAGGAAAAAAAAAAAAACACCAGATGTTGATCTTTCAGCTTTTGCTGAACAGGGATCAAAGTTCTACTCTTTCATTTACCTAAAGTCCTATAAGTTCTTTCTCAAATCTAATTTTCATTTCAAGGATGGAAAGAGGATAAGAAGAATCCCTTCTGAAGTTCATATTCAATATTTCCATTGCCCCGAATTATGAGCATCCAAAGGCACAGAGATAGGAATGTCCTAATGCCTGGCAAGAATCCTTTTTCTGTATTAGGATTCTAAACTCAATATGATGGCTTTGTCTCTTAAGAGCTTTGCAGGCTAATTCCAAAATGGAATTAGGAGATTCATGTATCTCTGATTGATGATGATCTGGCATTTAAAAAAATGGGACAGGTCCTTTGGAATAAGAGGAGTTCTGGAAAACTAGGACATGCTGCTTGGCAGGAACAGAAAGGAAGGAGAGACTTGGCAGCCTTGGGCTGTAGGGTTTTTAACAGAGCTTGCCCTTTATGGCTCACTGTCTAGTATCTATATCCATTGTGCACTTATGCCCACCAAAAACAACCCCAAAGAAAGGTAGAGTTGATGTTGGGACTCTAGGGGGCTCTGAACATGGAGATGAGATGATTTCAGAATGTACATGGACCTAGAAGAAGTATGTCATCCATGATATCCAAAAACTTAGAAAAAATAACTCTAAGTGTGTGAGTCACACAATGTGCCATGCATGGTATGTAAATTATGTCCTCCACGATAATATTGTGACTTTGGCATTGTAATCCTCATTTAAGCAAGAAGGAAGATGAGGTTTAGAAAGGTTAATTAACTTTCTTAAGGTTTGAAGGGATTTAAGCCTACGTCTAATTTCAAAGTCCGTGTCCTTAATTCTGTATTACTCGGGTTTCTGCAACAAAGTGAGCTTTGCATGAAGCTAATATAGGTTTTCCATTTGGGACCTGTCAGAAGTTTGCAAGTGTCTAAGAAACTGAGTTCTAGCCCTGACTTTGGCTGTTTACTGACTGGAATCTGGATCTTGTCACTTCTCCTCTTTGATCTTCATATTCTTCTATCAAAATTGAGATAAAAATATATGCTGCAAGGATTTTTGAAGAATCAAGAGAAATAAAGTTTGTGAAAAATATGAAGTGCTTTATGAATCTAAAAAGACTATTATCATTAATGATAGTAATTATGCTATGGTCACTTTATCTTCAATGACAGTTACAACATTTTCTTTTTCTTTTTAAATTTTACCAGGTGACCTTGGCTTCATGGCAGAGAATGGTACCGAGGTGATGGAATTTGTTCTGATGGGATTCCAGCTGCAGGCAGAACTGCAGAGGGGTCTCTTCTTTGTGTTTCTAGTCCTTTATCTCATCACCATTGGAGGCAATGTGGGCATGATTGTGCTAATTCAGAGAGACTCTCGACTCCAGACTCCTATGTACTTTTTCCTCAGCCACCTTTCCTTCCTGGACATTTGTTACTCTTCTGTTATTGTCCCTCAGTTACTTGAGACCTTGGCGACTGAGGTGATGGTCATCACTTTTGAACGCTGTGCCACTCAGTTCTTCTTTTTCACACTCTGTGCCAGCACCGAATGTTTCCTTTTGGCTGTGATGGCCTATGACCGTTACGTGGCTGTGTGCAACCCCCTTCTCTATACCACAGCTATGACACCACAGACTCGCCTGGGGCTGGTGGCTGGAGCATATGCTGGTGCAATGGTGAATTCTGTGATCCGTACTGGGTGTACCTTCTCGATCTCCTTCTGTAAGTCCAACTATGTGGACTTCTTCTTTTGTGACCTTCCACCCCTGCTAAAGCTTGCCTGTAGTGAGACCAGGCCACGGGAGTGGGTAATCTACATCTTAGCTTTCTTGGTTATCACGATTAGCATTTCAGTGATCCTTATTTCCTACCTATTCATCATCCGGGCTATTCTGAAGATTCGTACAGCAGGTGGCAAAGCCAAGACCTTCTCCACCTGTGCTTCTCACATGACTGCAGTGACTCTTTTCTTTGGAACTCTCATATTCATATACCTGAAAGGTAACATGGGCAAATCCCTTGGGGAAGACAAGATTGTGTCAGTATTTTACACGGTGGTCATTCCCATGCTAAACCCAATGATCTATAGTCTGAGAAACAAGGAGGTGAAAGAGGCTCTGAAGAAAGTTTTCAATAGGATGCGGGTTTCCCAATCAGAGTAAAACTGGAACATCAACCAGAAGCTCCTGAAACATTTTTTTGGCTTTTGCTTTGTGCCTTTAACACAATCAGATTTCATAATTGTGAAGACATATTGAGTCAGAAAAATGTAGATTTGGATTCCAGGACTTTCTTTATTAGCTCTGCCCTTAAGTTAGAAACCCTCTGCCTCAGTTTTCTCATCAGGACAAGTTTCTGCCTTGCTACGATTTAAGATCAGGAGATCTTTAACCAGGATCAAGAGAGATGGTATGCCAAAGGATTTTGTAAATCATAACACGCTATAAAATATCTAAAATTTCTTGACTGTTCTGTGTATTGGAGAGTGTTTTTTCAGCTACTTGAATTTTTTTCCTATTAAGTTCATTTTGTACCTACAATTACAAAACAACAGCTCATTGTTTACATAGTTTAAGCAATGAAATTCATTGTAGACGTTAGCATGGGTATCAGCCTTCACCAGAGAAAACTTCTTAACGTTCAGTCATATCTATTTTAGGCATTTGCATGGAAAATACAAGCAGCTAAACAGAATAAGAAAAAAAAAAAGGTGAAAAGAGATATGAACTGGAAAATGCTCAACTAGAATATGTTAGGTTACTTATTAAGCTGGCATAGAGGGGGACCAGCAGTTAGCGTAATGGCTATGTCACTGGACTCTGACGTAGTCAACCATGGTTCGTGTCCCGGACCCGGTGGCTTAAAACTCACGCCAGGCACATGTGTGTGCATGCCCAAGATCCTGAGAGGAGAATGGAGGAGAAGGGATTGCAGCGTGGCCATCCCCCGTGGGGGATGATTTCTCGCTTTCTGTCTCTCTGTCTCTCTCTGTCTGTCTGGCGAGCGCATGCACCCTATAGCAAAAAAAAAAAAAAAAGATGAAAAGATGGCATAGAGGACTCAGACACTGTATAATGAAAGAAACTTGTAGAGATCTGCATTAATTTTTGGAAACAATTTGAACTTGATATAGGAACTGCACTAAGTTATTATATATAACTGTAATTTTTTTGATCACTAAAGGCCAGAAGTTCTATTTTATTTCTGAAGCATTGTTCATGGATCATCTGCCTCAATTAACTCAAATTATTTCCTATTCTCCAGTAATAAGACTACCTACTTTCAGCACCACCTACTTTCATGTTCTCTAGGGCATTTACTTTATTGTCAGAAGACAAATATCTGTGAATCTGACTTCTGCCTTTTAATGACCACTACTAGAAATATCACTGAGAGGATATCTCCATGGAGACATCACAACTTTATTCACCATGTCAGTAAATATTTACTAACTGTATGTATCAGACATGATATTAGATTCAGAATATAGTAATACTTAAGATAGCCATGGAGATTAGAATGTGGGGCATAGACAAATATTAAACAATTACACAGTTAATATTTTTACAGTTTTGTAAAGTGGATATTATTATACTATATAATAGGGTTTTGATATAATATGGTGTGGTCAGAAAAAGCTTCCCTGAGGAACTAACATTTCAACAAAAGTCTAAAAATAATTATAACATAGTCATGGGTTGGGAGACTATAGATGGAAAGAGTTGAAAATGCAAAGGCTTGTGAAACGAGATGCCTTAAGGAAATAAGAGAAGCCAGAGTGACTGTAATCTGAGTGTGTGTCTTTGTGTGTGTGTGGCAGGGGAGTAGGGTGGGGGGACTTAGTGTGAATTCAGGAGAAAACAAGTCAAAGAACCTCATAGATTTACTTAGGGACTTGTAGATTTTATTCCATGAGCAGGTGGTGAAATGGTTGGATCTGAACTTAAAAAGATCACTTTGGCTGCAGCATGATGGTGGGAAGAGGACTGTCAGTGGTGGAGATGGAGGGAATTAGATTAGTTTCATCTAAGATATAACAACTGGTGTATCTTGGTGCATGGCATTTGATTTTCCAGCCACATAATATGCTTCAGTCTAGAATACATGTCAGGTGAAAGAAAGCTCATAGTTCTAAGACCATCAAGTCAAAATATGAAGAAGTGGACAAAATGCTAGACAATGGGTTTACTATTTTGGTGGTGATAGAGGCAATTTCATATCCCTACCAACTTCTACTCTGAGAGTAGTAGTGTTATGTTTTGGATAATGGTTTGTACCCCAAGGTTTATGTTTTGGAATTTGACCTTAGTGGGCAATGATTTGATGACACTGTCTCCCCCATCCCCATCCCACCAATTACAAAGGTGTTAAGTGAAAACGTAATCCCTTCATGGTGTCCGAGAGCAGGGCCATTGGGTGTGATGAAGGCACTAGGGTTGGGGCTCCATGACAGCTCTGATGGATGTATGAGGAGAGGAAAGGAAGCAGGCAGAAGCTATGTGGATACAGACCATGCTCTGCTCTGCTTGAAATTCTGCCTTCCACTATTTTGTGATGCCTTTAGACTTTCCAGGCACCAGAATCATGTATTTTTCAAATAAACTTAAATTTTCCTTATAAATAACCAAGTCTCAGTTATTTCTGTCAGTAATACAATAACAGACTAAGATATATAAATGAATCATCTTTGATGTGTGTACAGTATTTGGTGTATACAATTGCTTCAGATAATCACCAAGTGTATAAAAATAAAGCTTAAATGTTTTAGTGGCCTACCTTCTGATTACTGCAGAAGACACTGGAAGGAAGGACACGTATGTTGTATTGCCAATTACATATGTTAATAGATGAATAAAAACATTCATAAATCATATATTGTTTGTTAGGTTCTATGCTGAGTTTTCACTTATCTCACTTAAAGTTGTCATTCTTAAAATAAAAACAACAAGTCTCATTGTGAAAATAAACTCTATACAGCTTTGTTTTTCTTTTTTTAATTTGTAAAGGGTTTGTGCTCTCACCAGACAGAGGCAGAAAAAAAGTGATAAAGATGAGAAAGAGAGAGATAAAAAATAAGAAAGCACCTCACATGAGGGATGGTCATTCCACAATCCCTTCTCCTCCATTTGTTTCTCCTTTTGGGATTTTTGGACACACACATACAAACATGCACACTTGCGCACATGTGTGTGCATGCACACATGCCCAGCATGTTTCTAAAGCCACAGGGTCTGGGACTTGGCACAGTCAGTCATGTGGCATCGAGATCTCATAACCACCAGGCCTCTGGCTGGTCCACAAATCTTTTACAAATAGAATTCAGCTAGTAATCTTAAATTGTTTTCTTTAGTCCCCCTTTCAACTTGCAGGTGTGTTTCTTTTAAAACTGGGCTTTGGCATTATAATTTTTCAGTTGTAATACTTTGGCCTCAGTTTACCAAAAATCCTGGAAAAATGAAGGAGACTCTCTCTGAACTGACTCATTTAATTCAATAAATCAACAGATTAAACAAAACCCTATAATCTTAAAGCAACACTAATATTTTAAATGTGAATTTATATTTTTCACATATTTTATTTTTTATTTTAAGGAATTATTTTATATGTATTAATGAATGAATGAGTGTTGGTGTAAAGACAGATGAACTCGATTGTCAGCATAAGGGTATAGGTGCAGAGTAGAATGATGGAGTATAATTCATATAGCATATCATCCTGGGTCTTTAGCAGAGCGTGTATTTGTACATTTATGAGGGGATTTCTAAATTTTTGTGAAAAAAATTGAGTTCAAATACAAATTTATTTTGGCGCAAATTTTTTTTTTTTAATCCATGTTAGTTGTTTCTTAATATACATTTTCTATGAACTTTAGGAAGATCGCCCTCATGCTTTTGTGTATGGGTATGAATATCACTAGAGAGAGTCACAGTTCTTCAGATAAGTGTAAAAACAGCCACATTTGTTCTTGCTTGTTATAAAGAGCAATACAGAAATACTTCTCAGTGTTCTTTTTCTTTCCCCTTGCTTAAATTCTACTTGTTTATCTTGCATAGAAGGGGAAATGCCCTCAGAGCCATGTCTGAATTACATCAAGGAAAGTAGTTCAAGCCTCAACGCCACCATCCCCTCTGAATTTCCTACACCTTTTTAGTGGCAGGGGGGTAGAAAGAGGTTTTAAAGGTTTTTACTGGTGGTGGAATTCAAAGTGGATAAGGTACCTCTAAGTTCTGAATTTCATTTTGCCTAATGCTGAGTTAAAGCCTCAAGTAATATTTTCTTCCAAATCTTACTTAGGTATAGAGTATGAGGAGGATAAATACATGAAAAATTGGGGAAAGCTGACAGAAAGTTGAAAGGAAACTAGGCTACCTTCTTCTCTGTGGTGGATCTGCAAGGGTGCTTGTGGAGATCAAGATGTTTTATGGACATTATACAAGTCATCCTTTTAATCTTATTGGGAAAGAAAATCTCAGCTACTTCCACTTATTTCTCCTTTAAAAATCATGAAGTTTTCTGAAAATACTTGAAAAGAACATTGTGTTATTTTCTTTCTCTCAACGTATCTTTGTCCTTATTTAAAACATAGTAGTGCAAACAGGAAACAAAACAAACAAAAAACAAATCCCAAAACCCCAACAGTAACAGTAGTAAAAAAGAAATTTATTTTATTTTCTTATAATGAAATGACGAGACTTTTAATTCTATCCTTTTTAATTTTTTTTTATTTTATTATCATCATAATCTTCTTTCTATTACAGTAGATTACATATAACTTTACATTGACTTCCATTGCTTTTTTCAAAAGGGAATGCCATGCATGTCAGTCAATACAGAGATATCAATCTCCCTGCTTTATCATTCAATATCTTTTCCATGCTTTTCCCAATAATTATTATTATAATTTTTTTAGACAGTCAATCACTATTTCTCGTTTTGCTTATTAAAAAGACTTCACCCATCATGAAATATTTCCCAGACCAGTTCAGTTGAGAATACTATACATGTCATCATCAACAGGTAATAAACCATATCTATTTCTCATTAACATCCTGCCTCTCTATTGTTCACTGCTGTCTTTATCCTCTTCTC